GAGGAGGAGGGTCGCTGCATGAATGAAAGCTTCCTGTATGATATATGAAGCTTGACGCAGGGAAATGCTTGATTGCATCCAGGTGAGGATTGGCAGATGCTGTTGCCGCGTAGCAAGAAGACTAGGAGCAAAGTGACCTTAGTTCTTCCTGACTTTAGTTTAATTCATCTGCAGATAATATGGAAAACAGTTGTGAACAGCTGGGGTGGACATTCATGTGCTCTGTCTCATTCTGTGAAGACAGTCACAGTTTGCTGTATCATAAGTTAGATAGAAAAACCTGGTTAAGTAAGCGAGTAATCTTTATTTATACAGCGCCTTTCACAGACCAGAGTCACAAAGTGCTTTATAATTGTTACTGACCATTTTCCTTTCACTCACAGTGATGGGAGCGACCGGACCTACTCTCACTTTTTTTTTCCATGTTGTTCCTTTGCCGATGCAGGAGCGTCTATGGACAGTGTTGATAATCCAGGACACTCAACATTGAACGACATTTATGGACTTTATTAACATTATGGACATCGGTCTCAACCTCTTATGGACCAATGGCTTTATGTGTTTTTTGATCATTGCATTTTCTGTGTTTGAACTGTTTGATTTTTTGATCTGTGTTGGGGAATTGACAGCTTTGTATATTCCTCTGAGATAACTTATGTAGTTGTAGTTCTCTTGTTTATAACCAATTATAATATGCACAACTGTTAAACGGATCTAGATTCGATAAGGAGCATAGTGAGCACAAACAACTTGGAGTTCTTGCCAAAAAACATTTTTTATTTGTCAATTGGAGTAAAAATAAAATACAAAAAATAGTATTTGTGTGTAAAAAGAAAATAAAGTGTCCACCCTTTGGTTTTGTGTTGTTACAATTGTCTTTGTAAAGTGGGTAGCAATCTCCTTTTCAGTTATTTGTTCTTCTCAGTCTTTTTTTTTTTAGTCAAGTCCTTTTAGTCAAATGGCCATATGGTTCCTTTCACTCTTATCTGGATCTCAAAATGTGGTGAGGTGGGTCCCAGTACTCAGGATCATGTGCCGGTCCCTGAAGGCAGTGGTCCAGGTAAGGCAGCGAGCAGCGGGTCCTCAACCGTAGTCTCTCACAATAAAAAAAAACCAACCTGCATATTAAAGGGAACATATCATGAAAAATCCACTTTTTGTGTCTTAAATGCCTGATGTTGTGTAGTTGGAGCCTCTAGAAGTGCAAAAAAGTTTAAATCAGTCTCTTCATGGGTTGCAGAGAACACTTCATATTCGGTTTAGGTAAGATTTTTCAACCGGTTCTGATTTTGCCATTCTCTATTACGTGTTTAGAATTATTACGTCACAGTATTTGCAGCGAGACTGCCATATAAGGGCATGGGCGTCCAACAAAACACTTCGGCCCAGCCCTCCTCTACTGTGCATCACTTCGAATTTGTAGTCCAAGCTCAAGGATGCCAGCGAACAGGGCTGGACTGGCCATCGGGCGTACCGGGCAATGCCCAAAGGGCCGATGCCCATATTTGGGCCGGTCTGTCTGCCTCATACAAAACACATGTTTATGAGAAGTGTAAATCCGTTGAGAATTGTTCGAGCTGGGCGCGCGTATCCGCGGGGCACCTGCTGTATGTACTCGAACGGGATTCCGCCACCTCAGCGGCCGCAGTGTTCCGGGGCATCTGCGGCCGCTTTGTAATGCGGCTGCGAGAGGCTGTGAGCGTCCAGCCGCTCGCAGCCGCTCCACCGTGTTGCGGCTGAGCGCGCAGCCTCAACGTGGCCATGTACCCAACCCCATAAACGCGCACAGGACCATGCGTGTCTTTGAGTAATCTGTGCACCCAATAAATACACTGCTGCAGGAAACAGTCCGCGTCTCCCCTCTCCTCTCGAAGCGCGATTAAACGCCCTAAATAAAGCTCTGATACCTAAATTTTGCATTGCATTAAAAGTTCATGTTTGAGCCCAAAAGTAATGTGTTGTGAACAAATTAAACAGATTTAGAGCCAGCAAATGGCTGACAATATGCATTTCAGTCTTTTTTGACCAATTCTCATCCCTGTAACAAACAATAGTGTTGTCTGTGTCCACCTCCCTCACTCTGAGACATGTTTATTACCCTCTTATTGTTGAAACTGCACATATCCTGATCCTCTACAGTATTTGCTTCCACATACTGTATAAACTAGGAGTCTGCAAACTGCGGCTCTGGAGGCGCATGCGTCTTTTTCTTTTCTGTAGAAGGAAAAACGTTCTTAACGTTTTTAAATGCTGTAAAATTATGCATAAGTAATATTCAATGTAAACATTTCTGTCAACGTAGTGTGTCATATCCTGCGACGTAGGCCAGCGCCAAGCGGCCGCTGTTGTAAACAAACCGGCGTGTGAGCTCTGCTTGTGTACAAGTCTCTCCATGGCCTTGCTCCAAAATATATTAGTGACATGTTAGTACCATACGAACCAGCCCGGACTCTGAGGAGCACAGGGACTGGACTCCTGTTAGTGCCCAGAGTCAGAACTAAACATGGGGAGGCTGCTTTTCAGATTCATGCTGCTAAAATCTGGAACAGTCTTCCTGAAGATGTGAGACAGGCCTCCTCTCTGACAATGTTTAAAACCAGGTTAAAGACAGTTCTGTTTAGCTGTGCATACAACTGAGGGATTTTATATTTTTATCTTTCTTTTTAATGTTCTGTGATTATTTATGATTTTAATGCTTTCTTATTTTGTTCAGCACTTTGAGTTGCCTTGTGTATGAATTGTGCTATATAAATAAACTTGCCTTTCCTTGCCTTGACTGTGCGCATGGATCCCAAAGCTAAAAAGAGAAGAGTCGATAATAAGACTGGACTAAGAATGAAAATTAACGTTTTCTTTCAGTCAATGAGGAAGGCCTGCTTCATGTTTGCGATGTAATGAGAAGTTTCTATGAGATAATTGTATCTGTGCTTAGAAACTACAAAAATGGCCGCTCGGGGTGGAGTTGAACCTGTGTCACGGACAACACTAGATCATATACGGAATCGGGACGGAAGCGGAAGTAAATATTACAAATTACCTATTAATGCCTAAATTTAACCAGCTATTCCCATAAAATAACCCCAACCCAGCCTTAACCCTAACCTTAACCATCTTACTCAGACGCCTAAAACTTAACCAGTCACCACTTAAGGACTTATTAGTCTAAAACTAATTCAAAAGTACGAGTGTTACTTCCGGTTTCGTCTCGATTCCGTATATGATCTAGTGCCGACCCCTGTGTCACCTGGATGGGGGCGTGGTCAAAAGCGCCTCATTTGCATTTAAAGAGACAGCACCAAAACAGGTTGCTCTCAGACGCACCTCAGAACAGGTGTAGAAGAAAGGCCCGTGGAGCTACAAATAATGAGACTCAGACCCAGGCATTGCAGTTACGCTTTATATAGGCCACAAATTAATGATTTAGATCAGTGTCTCCCAAAGTGGGGTCCGCGGCCCCCTGGAGGGCCGCGAGGGTACTGCAGGGGGGCCGCGGGAGGTCATAAAAAAAATTAAAAAAAATAAAAATTATGTTAAATTTATAATGTTTTGTTTGTAATATTAAAATATGTGTTCATTATTTGACTTGAATAATCCACTGTAATCATTTTTGTATTACAATGTTTGTAGCAGAGGCTATTTCCCCAAAATAAAATAACCAGAAGAGCCTATTCTTAATGTTGTCTTCTTGGTTATTATTTTGGGGGGCCACGCAGACCCGTCAGATTTTTAAGGGGGCCTCGGTGTTACTGAGTTTGGGAATGGCTGATTTAGATGAATGATGAATTATTTGAAAACACGATATGTCCACTTTAAATGAACAAATGACTAACAGTTCACATGCAGGTTTTCTCATTCTCTATCAATTATTCTCTTATCAATAACAAGCTTGCATTTGTCTCAAAAAATCAACTAATACAGTTTACAATAAAATAAATATGGCATAGGCCTCATACCACATTGACAGTAAACCACAAGTTGATACATCAAAACATCATTTTCAATTATCACAAAGTACAGAATTATTCAGTTTTCTCCAATTGGTTTTAGAGACATCAAAATGATAGCTCAAAGGCTAACATTTGCTTAGCGGGGTTAGCAATAGTTACTTAACAGCATATAGACTCACCGGAGAAGATCTCTGCAGAAAAACAGTCTGCAGGGATGAGCTATATCAGTATGGCTTTTACCAGTGTGAACTGGGGTTTGCAAAAGAAAAAAACAATATCATTATACAATTCTTAAATTTGCAACCAAGACCTCGTGTGCGTTACCTGCCACGTTTCTTTCCAAGTCTGCTGTGACTCACGTGGCTTCAAAATATAGTTCGTCTGGCGTCAAGTGCCCTCTGCTGGTGAGGCATGGTATAACTTTTCATAAAAACGTCTAAACAAACCATTTGCATTCACTATGCAAGTTAAAATTAAAATGATATCAAAAATAAAAGGAATGAAAATACATTAAAATGAAATGATTGTACTGACCAAATTAACAGGGGTTACATCGTGATTTAGGGCAATACACAAAGAAATTGAATTGATTCAATCATTCATTTTCCACCCCTTTATTAGTCAATTTCTGGGTCGGGGGTGACAATCAGAGCTGCCACCCAATGCTCATAGCACCAGTCCTTCGCTGATCCTCCTGCGGGCAATGTGGGGTCAATGCTCTACCAACTGAGCCGCTGTCGAATTGTAGTTGGTAATTGTCGCCACTGGTAATGGAAAGAACATACAAACTCGCTGGTCCTCTCACTCCTCTGGCTATTGTCTGGTTATGTCACTGCAGCAACATGGTGGCATAGTGGTTAGCACTAGTGGTTCACAGCAAGCACCTGGGTTTGATTCCAGACGGGTCCTGGAGGTGGAAATAAATAAATGAATGTTTAGTGCGATGGGAGTGGTTTGAGTGGGAGCATCCTTTCCTACAGAAGGGGAAGTGTTTCTGAGACAGTGTGTATAAAATGAGAGCGGTTGTGACTGTAGTTAGATCTGATCCTGACCATGTCTCTTTTGCTGTTCCTGCAGGTGTTCCTCCAGGTGCTCCTGCTGCTGGTCAGCAGCTCCGAGGCCTACAAACCTGTCATCATTGTGCACGGACTGTTCGACGGACCAGACGACTTCATAACTCTCACTGACTTCATCCAGGAGGTGAGGAACTGATCAAGGCAGTTTCCAATAATAATAATACGAGACAGAAATAGTCTTCCAAACTTCTGAATTAATGCATCAAATCATGGCAATTTTTTCAAAAATGTCACACTTGGTCGGTTTTGGGACATGATTCAATTTTGGAAGTGATTCGGCCCACTGTTGGGATCCTGGATTTGTATTTGCAAAATCAACTATTTGAAGCTTTAAACGCTGTTTTTGTTTTATGATCATTCCTCAACAGTTAAAAACCTGGAGTTGTTTTCATATCCACCCATGCTAATATCAGGAACTTTTGGCACAAACATTTAGCTTTTCCCCTCGTAGCTCCAAACTATCTTCTAGGAGCAGAACTACGAACGAGTCATTTTTCACACAATATTTCTCATTTCAAAGTAGATTTTCACTCTTTGCTATTCTGGCAAAAGACTGGTCAGAAGTATTCTAGTCAAGCCTACATCTAGAATGACTGTTTTGGTATTTCCTTTTTGCTAAAACTATAATACAATGTATGTCATTTGTGTGCAGACCCACCCCGGCACTAATGTCACCACTCTGGACATGTATGACTATTGGAAGAGTCTTATGCCTCTCTGGACTCAGGTGGAAGGCTTTAGGTCTCTTCTGGAGGCCAAGCTGAACCAGTCCGAAGAGGGTGCCCATCTGATCTGCTACTCTCAAGGTACAACCAGGACTAAACCTGGGTAGCAGACTTCCGTTCATTTAATTGTTTCGAACGGCTCTCAAAACGTACAAACCCAATGTCAATTATGAATGATGTGAGTTCCAGCGTGAATCCTTGCGGTTCTCCACAGGTACAACTACAACTTGATCAGTGCTGGTCAATCTGTAAAATCTGTTGTCTTTCACACTAACAGCTCTCCAACCATTACTTTGTTTGTTCCTTATGCCACAGGTTTCCATTTTGTTTAAAGATACAATCATACAAATAAAGCCTTTCCCCAGGTGAACTAGACTTAGTGCAGTTAAAATGAACCAGTGTGAGCGTCGGTCTGCTACAATAGTGATGTAAAATGAATGAATAGAAGCTACTAAGGGCTGTTGTGTGTTGTGTTGTGTGTTGTGTTGTGTTGTGGTGTGCAGGAGGTGTGATCTGCAGAGCGCTGCTGTCTGTGATCCCAAACCACAACATTCACACGTTCATCGCCTTGTCCTCTCCTCTGGCCGGACAGTTCGGAGGTCAGAGACTCACTTGTGAAGTATTCTAATGACAGCATGATGTTCTGGGACAGTTTGAGCCATTAACAGTTTTGTGTATGTATATACACATTTACAGGAGCCTGATGAAAAGTCGCCGCCGCCATGTTAAATATAACTTCTGACAAAAGCCCTCGTAATTACGTCACACATGATGAAAGAATGTTTACATGAAGCAGCTTTAGTACCGTTCGAACTGTTCTGTCTCATGAGCCCAACATCCCTGTGCAGCAGATGGTCTGTGAGCAAAAGAGTTACGTTTGTGTTGTTTGTGTTGCAGTCACAGAATACCTCAGACGGCTTTTCCCTGAAACAATTTGTGAAGACTTTTACAAAATCTGCTACCTCAGCTGGTTCCAGCAGATGTCCGTCTGTCAGTACTGGAACGGTCTGTGGACAAGTATCACCAGGACACATGATGTTTAAAGGTCCTATATCACGCTTTTCTTCATGTTTCACACTCAATCCTATACACATGTGTGATATTAATGTGTATGATACACCACACAACACTCAAAGCTTGTGAGATTATTGCCATCTCTTGTATAGAGGTGACGTCACCTCGACTCAAACGAGCTGATCCAGAGAAGAGTCTGCTCCTCTGCCTGTGAGCCCGCCTCCCCCCGCCCGCACGGTGACGTAGCATCACGCTTTTGTCGTTTATCACCTGTACTTAGTAATTTCAGACATAAGAATAAACTTTTTCCAACAATGACAATCCGTCACATCGAGCCTCAATGTCCTCAATGCGCAATCAGACCCTAGTTATTTAGTTTACAGAAGTATACAGGGAGTTAGCGTCACTACTTACAGATCGAGGGGTCCGAGTTACGTCTTTTACCGTGGGAATAACGTGTTTCCAGATCAGCTTTTGAGTAAGTCCAGTTCCATTGTCCCTGTAGTTCTGGAACAGTCTCAGTGAAGTGTCGCAGATGAACCGGTATTATAATAGATCCATGAGATGAACAGATGAAAAAAGTCGAGCCGCTTTCTTCCTCTTAGGGCCAAATAGTGCGTCACATATTTACACCCATAACACACTTCATTCACGTTGACGTGATCCTAACACTTTTAGTTTCTGACAAAAGCATAAAAACAGCAGCTCTATGTGGTGTCCGCGAGACCAGACCACAGACGCTGGACTCGGGAGCCGGAGCCTGTGCGCTCTGATTCGCTGTTTTGATCCGTCAATCACCTCCCGCCGGCTTTTAATGTATTTATTTTTTTATTATTTTTGACAAAAAACAGCATACTAATTGTGTATTGTTTACCCCGTTTTGACAAAAGTATTTAACAACTATTTTAAATACAAAGCAAACGGGGTCATGCGCGTCATCAGTGTGGTTTTCGTCACTGAAGTAGACCCGAGCGTTTCTGTGCCTCACGCTGGGGAAGGAGACAGATTGCTCTCTTACAAAAGATTGACAGAATCAATGAATAAACTACTGTGGGCTTGTGTATGAAGGCCAAATAGCATTGTAATCATGTTTAAAGCAGAGAAAAGTCAAAAACCGTGATATGGGCCCTTTAAGTTACTTTTAATTTGCTTTTTTTTATCTAAAGTAAAATATGTTTTTATTGTGTAAACTTCAGCAAGTCATGCATGCTTTTATCCTTCATGTCTGGACACTCCTCTCACTTTCTTATTTTCTATTAAATTAAACTATATACAATTGAGTAGATTAACTTGATATCATTCCACAGATCCTCATTACAGAGACCTTTACCTTGAGAAAGACGACTTTCTGCCTCTGATCAACGGAGAGACCCAGCACAAGGATCTACCAGGTCTGAACCAGGACTGAACCAGGACTGAACCAGGACTGAACCAGGACTGAACCAGGACTGAACCAGGACTGAACCAGGACTGAACCAGGACTGAAACAAGAATGAACTAGGTCGGAACCAGGACTGAATTTGAAATAAAGCAGGACTAAAGCAGGACTAGAACAGGACGGAACCAGAACAGAACCAGGACTGAAGCAGGACTGAAGCGGAGCTGAACCAGGACTGAGTCTGTGTATTTCGCTGCAGAGTGGAAGAAGAACTTCCTGCAGATAAAGAAGATGGTTCTGATCGGAGGTCCAGACGATGGGGTCATTACTCCGTGGCAGTCCAGGTCTGTGGCAGACGACACGGGACAACACAACACGACTGAGAAGCACATAGAAGAGCTGTTTGAACTAGACGCTACACATGTGCTTACAAATACACATAGTGTACAAAGAAATTCTCCTTGACAGTGATATGTCTCACAATTTCTTCCCAGTCTCTTTGGATTTTTCAACGAGAAGCGAGAAGTGGTGGAGATGAAGAATCAAGAGGTGAGTCCTGCACTTTATATCTGTGTGTTTTCCCCTCTCCTTCCTCGGCCATGGCCATAGCTGCATGTTGAAGCCAGATCACGTCTAATCTCTGAAGCTAGCAACTAAAAACAAACAGGTTAACTGTTATTTTTTGTTTGCATTTTAATACTTTTATTTCTTGTACACAAACCAAAAGTGAACAGACAGGTAACAGTCTGTTCAGTCCCGGGACCGGGCCGCAGTCCCGCCAGCCGCTCGCCGACCACGGGTCGCCACCGGGCACCCGCGGGGGAGAGCCGACACATCCTGGTTTTTGGGCCTAGCCCGGGCGCGCACGCGCCAATGCGCTATCAATGCGCGCCTCACCGGTGCCGCTCTCCCCGCTGGCCTCAGTGCCCCGTGGTCTCTGGCTGGTGGTGCTCGTCCTTGGCCCGGTCCCGTGTCCTCCTCCTCTGGACTGGCTCTGCCCTCCTCTCTTCCTCCTCTCTTCCTCTCTCTATGTCCTCTCTTCCTCTTCCTCTCCTCTCGTCCTGCAGTGCCCGCCCCCAATTAAAAGGTCTTGATTAAAACAGGTGCGGGTTAGGGGAAGTGTCCAGGGGACAATGATTAAAATCCATGCAATAAAAATATAAAAACACACAAAACACATAAATAAAAGCAGTTGAAAGTCCTTGTTAAAAGTTCACTTTCCCACATATACACCTACATACATATATATATATACATATATACATACATACATATATACATACATACACATATATATACACATATATATACATACATACATATACATACATACATACCTACACACACACACACACATATACATACATATATACATGCATACATACGTATGCAAAGACTTGCACGAACACAGACATATAAAAGGAACATACATAACTACACACAGACATATAAAGGAACATACATAACTACACACAGACATATAAAGGAACATATATAACTACACACAGACATATAAAGGAACATACATAACTACACACAGACATATAAAGGAACATACATAACTACACACAGACATATAAAGGAACATACATAACTACACACAGACATATAAAGGAACATACATAACTACACACAGACATATAAAGGAACATACATAACTACACGCATTGGCCTTAATGCCAGAAGGTCGTGGGTTCAATTCCCACCTCTGCACCTTCTCCACCAACTCCCACTGATGACTGCTGTCGTTGTGTCCTTGGGCAAGACACTTAACCCCACTTGGCCCAAAGCCCCCACTGAAAGATCAAGGCTATGCTCACACTCAGAGAGCAGCCGTCCTCCTGTGGACTCACCACCTGCAGAGGGTCAGTGAGGGGCTGGTGCTATGAGACTTGGGTGGCATCTCTGACTGCCACCCCCCTGACCCAGAAATGGATTAAAGGGTAGAAAATGGATGGATGGATGGATGGACATAACTACACACAGACATATAAAGGAACATACATAACTACATACAGACATATAAAGGAACATACATAACTACATACAGACATATAAAGGAACATACATAACTACATACAGACATATAAAGGAACATACATAACTACACACAGACATATAAAGGAACATACATAACTACACACAGACATATAAAGGAACATACATAACTACACACAGACATATACAGGAACATACATAACTACACACAGACATATAAAGGAACTTACATAACTACATACAGACATATAAAGGAACATACATAACTACACACAGACATATAAAGGAACATACATAACTACATACAGACATATAAAGGAACATACATAACTACACACAGACATATAAAGGAACATACATAACTACATACAGGCATATAAAGGAACATACATAACTACACACAGACATATACAGGAACATACATAACTACACACAGACATATAAAGGAACATACATAACTACACACAGACATATAAAGGAACATACATAACTACATACAGACATATAAAGGAACATACATAACTACACACAGACATATAAAGGAACATACATAACTACATACAGGCATATAAAGGAACATACATAACTACACACAGACATATACAGGAACATACATAACTACACACAGACATATAACAGGAACATACATGCACATATACATAGACATAGAACTATATTTTCAGCTCATGTAAGTAGATCCTCCATTTTGTATCAAACTGGGGTAGTTTGTTACAGTTGATGGCAATTATTTTTTCTAAGTTATATTGATAGCATATTCTATTTCTGAAGTGTTTTAAACACAATCATGTTTTTGTTTTGGCTTTAAAAATAAATATCTTCCCCAATATTATAACTAAATTTATAAACGGGACATAATCATCCCCCAAAATATCCAACAAAATGTTCATGGGTGTGAGTACCAAGGTAAGTCCAATAGATTTTAGCCATAACTGAACAGAAGTCCAAAACTTTGCAACAAATGGACAGTAATAAAATAAATGCAAACAGGTTAAACTTGGAGAATTAGGATGTAAGCCATAATCATTAACAATACAAGAAACACATCCAGTTTCACTTGTAAAATACGTGTTTCACTATCTCAACTTTGGCCAATTTTCATTATCGACATTTTAATCAAAACTGCACAAATTATAGCTAAAATACCGGAAAAAACTCAATTTAGTGTTGCTCTCAAACCAGTCTGAACACTCTGGTCACAGTCTCCATGCACATTCTGCAACTTTCAAAGGCGTCTTGTTCCTTTGCCTTAGCGCTTACGCTGGAACAGAAATGTCAGTCATTAATACTGTATAATACATGTTTAGCAAATGTAAACCAGCAGCAGGGCAGGTCCTGGTTAGTACTGTGATGGGAGACCTCTGTGAACACCAGGTGCCACAGTGGGGCGGCTGTAGCTGTAAAGTGCCAAACTGTCGCATTGTCCTGAGGCAAGACACTTCATCCACATTAGAATGAGTCTGGTCACGTGGGCTACTGAGAAAAATGTGCCATAGAACTCAATGTAAACAAAAACAGCTCGATCTCAGCTGACAGAGAACCTACAGCTTTCATAAAGCTTGGATTTTGTGGAGATTTTAGTGTCCGTTGTCATCCTCAACCTTTTTTCTTTTTAAATCCATCCGTTTTCTTTAAATCCACTCTTTTGTGCCACAAACTGCTCGTTTGAGTCCCGCTCTAGCTCCGTCAGAACGCTTCCATGTCCCTCTGGGCATGTGCATGAGAGCCACACGCGAATCCTTAGTATGGGCGCAAAGCATCATGGGAGTTCGTCTACTGCGCAGAACCAGGAGGACAAGAGCCATGACCAAATATGGGTGGGCTGCGCTAATTTTTGGGTCCCCATGTAGGTCCCATGCGTTTGAATAGTCTGCCATCTTGGATCACCAGAGCTTGGTGTGTGAATGGTTGGTGCGGGTGGGAGGGGCCGATGCCACATACTTCTGTCAGTGTGCCCCAGGGCACCTGTGGCTACAGTAGTAATATATCACCACTGTGTATAGAGTGAAAGAATAATGACACGTGAAGCATCTTTGAGAGTCAATAAAAGTGCTGTATAAAACCAACGCAATATTATTATCATCATTATTAATGAAATGTGTTGTTTTGTGGTTTACAGTTTTACACCTCTGACGCCTTTGGCCTGAAGACGCTGGACTCTCGTGGAGACATCTCAGTCTGTGTTCAGTCTGGAGTCCCTCATCTCCACTGGCACATTAACATCACCGTCTTCAACAACTGCATTAAGGATTGGCTCATCTGAACATCCAACAGAGAACAGCCTAGACTTCAGTTATTATTCATTTCTCTTGTGCTGTGTGCTCCTTATTCCTACTGTTCTGTAACTGATTTCCCCACTGTGGGACGAATAAAGAATCTTTTCATCACAATCTCAATCATTCTTGTTGCTTGACATTTCATGCACCAAAACTGGCATTTGTTGGATTATTCTTGCACCTGTAATACTGTATGGAGAAATGTGCTCAGACTAAAAAGAAAGGACTAAACATACTCCCCAGTTCCTCCAGCTCGACCTGACCCCACTCCGGCCCAGATTAATCGGTACCAGTATGAAGGTTATTTTGTGTTTTTATTATCAACACTTTTTTTTTATTTTTTATTCTATAAACTATAAAATAAATAAATTCAATGTTTTAAAATTCAGTGTCAAAATATTCAATGTTTTCAAATTCAGTGTCCAAAAATTCAATGTTAATCCAAAAATTCGTTGCATTTTTTTTCACTGCTTGAAATGTCATGCTTTATTTCCGGGTAAATCAAGACAGTAGCAATCGATCAGCCAATCCTCCATAGATGTAGCCAGGGCCAGAACACGACTTTGTCTTGTTCATCTGAACATGGCGTCCACAGCAAACCAGTAAGTGTGTTTTCTCATCATTAGTTGGTATGTGAGGGGCGACAGTAGCTCAGTTGGTAGAGCACTGGCCTTTGAGCCTGAAGGTCGTGGGTTCGAGACTTCACGACTCCCACTGATGACTGCTGTCGTTGTGTCCTTGGGCAAGACACTTAACCCCACTTTGCCTGAAGCCCTCACCAAAAGATCTCAGCTCATGTGGACTCACCACCTGCAGGAGGATCAGTGAGGGGCTGGTGCTCTGTGACTGGGTGCAGCTCTGACTGCCACCCCCCCAACCCAGAAATGGATTAAGGGAAAGAAAATGGATGGATAGTTGGTATGTAACACACAAACCACTATGTACTTTCTTGTAAAAACATGTTTTTACCTTAGCTTATCATTAGCTAGCTCCGCGTAGGTGGCTTCTATGTTTTGGCGATTCCCCAAAGCTAATCTTTGCTAATGCTAAGCTAAAATGAACCGCAGGAAAGCCAAGTACATGGGGGTTTGTGGTTCTTGTGTGACATATGTACTATTGTTAGTATTAGATAGCAATATGGCCTACGTGCAGAACTGTACAAGGACTCTGATTATTTTGACTATGATGTGACTGTCTCTGTGTGACACGTATGTCTTTCCATGTGTGACGTGACAATGACTATATAAACGGTGTACTGACTCCATTCTGTCTGGGAGAAAGAAACAATTGAAACAACTGGAACTTGAGAGAAACTTAAATAAACTTCCAGAGTTTGGCGCACCACGATCCGTCTCTGTCTGCTTCATCCCTGACAGATTTGGTGGAGAATGCGCGGCTCAGTGTGCGCCATTCTCTGGATTGTTTTGAGGGAGTTTTCTTTGTTTCTTTTTCTCGGCGTGGGAGAGTATCTGGGGCCTGGGAGCGGTCCAGCAGGCTGGAGAGGCGACCGGCTCCGGGACTCTTTTTCGCTCTCTCACTATATTTTTTTTGTGTCCTGTTTTTTGGACTGAGCGTTTAAAATTGTTTTCCCATGTCCACATTCCGGGGATTTCTGATGTGTGATTGGTCTCTGCCGATGGAAACTAGTTCTCGGTACTAGTGAGAGCTGGTTCATGATCTGGAGACCTGGTTGGACGTGGAAAAGCTGGTATTTGGTAGACCTCTCGGACAGTCCTTGGATCCTGTTTGACAAGAATAAGGTAAGCAGACACCTTTTTATATGAAAGTCTGTATAATTGGATACAAGCTAAATTTTGGTCTGTTTTGAGGTCTACCAAATGTCATATATCTATAGATCAGATTAGATAAAAAACAGGTTCGTTACCTGATGGGGTAGAGGCCCCTTGAGAAGAGAAAAAGAGTAATTACAGGGTAGAGGCCCTTTTTTGAGTAATTACCGGGGTAGAGGCCCCTTGAGAAAGAAAAAGAGTAATTACAGGGTAGAGGCCCTTTTTTGAGTAATTACCGGGGTAGAGGCCCCTTGAGAAGAGAAAAAGAGTAATTACAGGGTAGAGGCCCTTTTTTGAGTAATTACCGGGGTAGAGGCCCCTTGAGAAGAGAAAAAGAGTATTTTTTTTTATTTTTTATTTTTGGATGAAGCAGATGTCCAAAAGAACGGGCTATAAACCATAAACACACAGGCCCAAAACTCCTCTGCCCCAACACTAGCATATTCCCTTAGCCATAAAATAGCTCTTTGAGAAATGAGAAAGATGCGTTCTAATCGATCTCTACTGTTACACTAAAATGTTACAGTAATAGTTTAGATACTTGCTACTGGCCAAAAAAAAGTTTCAGTGATGACAATTGTTTCTAATAACTCCTGATAGGCAACAAAAGCGCGCTGTTCTTCTGAAGATCAATCCGTCCTCACCCTCCTAAAAAGCAACATATGAGTGAAAGAGCACTAAACATTCAAATATGGCACAGATCAGCACCACACAACAGTCCTTTAATTCAACAACCTTTGCTTTGGCAGGAACTAAAAACGTGTAACATTCGTCTCTATTTTCTCCCAGACCATGAAGCTCAGCGGGACACCATTTTGATAGGATTGCGAGCTTTTTGGTCGTGCTGGTTACTGCAGCAGGAGGTGAGGACGGAGAAGCCAGAGTGAGCCTGCAGAGAGACAGGACATTTCATGTATCTATAATTTAGCCGAGTGAATTTGTGGCTATTTTACCCCAGTGCACTCCTGTTACCATGTGAGGCGGAGTTTTAATTAAGTGCCTGGCCTTTTTCCCATCTTACTTCTAAGCGCTGTACTGCTGCTCTGCGAAGCGGAGGGGACTTGCCTTTAGCGCTAAAAACTGTAAAAAAAAAGACAAACATAGCTTCAACCTGGACTTAACATTGGACATGGATGAGGGCAAAAACATTTTCAGTCATATTATAAGTTAGATGTGAAACATTTTAGACACAATTTCAATTTATAATGACCTTATGATCGCACCAAAACGATTTGTAGGAACCTATGTTACTGAATGTGAAACTTGGAAATTATAATCCTGTCTCAAGTTTCTGCAATTAAATGAAAATGTGAAAATCATATTATGATGATTCATAAGTCCATTTTCAAAATATTCTAATTTGTTGATATTTACAATTTGGGGTTTACAATCGGTCTAAATTTTTTTTTGGTTGGGACAGTTGAATAATTGGATCGACCGTCCCAACTTCACACTAATGAATGACATCAGAGACTTGCTTGTTCTGAATTACAGAACATACTGTACTTCCGCAGTCAATGGCTGTGATGGTGTCTTCCCTTTATTCAGGGTTGTGCAGGATGTAGGATGTGTGAGTGTGTGTGTGTGTGAGTGTGACGCACACAAGCCGTTTAAACGCAGAACTAGACCCTGGTCATCATCTCTCGAGTCACAACAGAATACAAGATAAAACAGCTGAAACTTTCTTTGCTCACCAGCGGGTGCGCCACTGATGCCAGGTTAGGTACTGCCACTATCACTGTACAACACACAAACACTGTAAGCCTTGCCTCAAAACACCAATTGCTACCACTATTCCACTCATTTACGTATAATATTCAGTTTTATACTAGTTTCACATGCACATAGAATTACAGTAAATTGACTTTTTAATTATTGGGTTTTGTCCTACAAGTTTATCCTGTTGCTTTTAGAACTCCCAAACAAACAATGGCCTAGAGGAAAAGTAATTCCCAGAGCTTGTTCATAGTATGACCTCCCTCCCATGTCCAGAGTTTTGTTCTGGAACTCCGCCTTCTCAGACACCCTGTGGTGCAAAAACCTAAAAGAGCGTGATCCTGTGAGGAACGCATCATCTCAGGGAGCTCTCAGGGCCCTGAGAGGCAGCAGCCCAGACAGCTCCATACGCCCTCCCACTGAAGCACTATGTAAACAGGTGACACCAAGAGGGAGCCAGGTCTGGCTTTCAACTATGCACAGAACATACCACCATATAAGGTTATTACTGAAAAACGACTAATCAGGGCCAGACCGGGTGGAAAAATTAGTACCACACAAACTAATATCACAACGGAACATCCAAAAAAAGCGCTAAAAATGCTTAAGTTTCTGAATTAAATGCTGACAATGAAAAAGTTAGCAAAATATCTCTGTTTGGTTCTGTCACTGAAATATGTGATGAAAATGAGTCAAAAATCTGATCACATTTGTCAAAATGTATCCTATTTTTGTGTAGTTGTATTCTGTATTTGTTTGTTTTTGTATATGTCTCAACAGAAATAGGCTTTTTTGTAAGCCGGTTTATGATTGTCTATTAAATTACTTATGACTATACTTTTCCACAAAACACAAACATGATTTTTAATATGAAGAATTTTGTAAAGATTAAAGCACCAATAAGCGAAGAGTTGTCAGCAGGAGAGACGACGCAGGACCCTGAAGCTCCAACCTCCTCCAGGGTCAAGAGACCAGACCCCTACAGCTGACGAACCGCTCCAGTCATAGAACACAGAAGATCACTAAAACAATCAGTCAAGTCAAGTGCATAACCATTAGTTAAATATTCCAGTGAAAAAGGATTATAGCACAATAATATGTAACAGAGTAGTCTCTAAAAGTAAAAAAAATAGACTTGAATGCTTCCAGCAGTTGTGTTCTTCCCCTTCGTCTGTTTGACTCATATACACAGAGCTCATCGTCTCAAGGAGAATGGTGAACAGAGGGAGGATTTCGGGATTTCAAGCCAGGCCCAGGAGCCACTGAAGCAGCACACTGGAATTTCCAATGATTCTTACTGTACATAACTTCTCACTATTCTATATCAAAGTCAAGCTAATGTCCTTCTTCAGCTGGAACAAGACAATTATATCTATCATAACCTAAATCTATTACCTATTTTATCTTATTTTAACTTAACAGATGTTTGACACTTCTGTCTTTTGCACAATCTGAGTGATTCCAATTTGTAACAAATATGAATTGTACATTCTCCATTGTGAGATCAATAAATTCTATCTTATCTCATTTTTTCCTTTAACTTGAATTGTATGTATTATCGATACATACAGAATGTTTGGGCTCTATGTTATTTGCTGTGTGTGTGTGTGTGCCTACTTTCTCTGACAGACATTTCATGTAAAAAGGCACTTTCATGTCTTTGCTTGAAAGTTAAACATGTCCTTAACCTTTTATTCTTTTAGACCCTGTTTATACGGCGGTGCTGCGCAGACATTGCAGCTAAACGACCAGGTTCCTAATACAATATCACAGCGTTCATACAGGATCAAAAACTATGCATTTCTAGCGCCCGGACAGTAGGCAGAGGACAGACCTTCACAACACGGACACATCATTAGAATTATGTCATTTTAACAGCAGCTGCGAAAATGGAAACTGAAACAAGAGTTTTGCGTGGTCTCGTTTGGACGAACGAAAGAGTCCAATCCTCCTCTGTGCAGCGCTCGAAGCACACGTAGGCTAGTTTAGTTGATCTTGCTACTAGCGCATGTCCCTATGCACGTGGCAGGTAGCAGTGTGGGAGGTGGGGGTCAGATCAGCAGGGAATTTACACCATTTTCCTTTACGCGGTGTGAACGAGATGCCCACTCTGAGCAGCGTTTCTGGAGTTGTCTCACTTTGCAGGCTTGATCTTAACTCTCACGTTTTCAACCCCCCCTGGAACACAGTCTCCGTATGAACCAACATCCAACATAAGTGTTTAACTGCTGCAATGTCTCCGTAAAAAGTGGGGCCAGAGAGTCTCTGAAATTAAATAACAGCCATTGGCTTCGTATGTGTTTTGCTATTATTACACTTCTTGTGTTTAAACTGTTAGATTTTCTGAACTGTGTTGGTGAATCAACACCCTTGAAATTCCTCGGAGACGACCTGCTGTTGTGATTAGAGCTCTACATAAATACATAAAATTTACTGATAACTCATAGCACCTCGCTCAGTCCAAGAGTAAATCCACAAAAAAACAACTAAGCACTCATCCCAAATAAAAGCCATCCTTCATACCAAAAACACTAAAAAAATAATTTGCTTACAACTCAAATAATCTTCCTTCTCTACATGAGCCTCTTAAAACAACACAAGTAAGCGTGCGAGACGACATGTGGCTCTTGGCAACAGATGGCTGTGGTATTTCTTCTGTTTTCTCCAGACACTTGGCCAACTTTCTCTCTTTCTATTTTTGGACTGCCAGATGTTCTATGGTGGCATCTTCCTCACTGGGCCGTTTACAAAAGCTCGGCTAAATACGATTGAAATCCGATATAATAATATGTGTGTATTGTCAGTTTGAGAGAGACTGTGTAGACTGCGTTCCATTAAACGTGGTCAATAAAGCACTGGCAAATGGCTAAAACGTCAGTCATTGCTCTGACAGTCGCTGGATTCAGATGAGGTTGAGGATTCAGCAATATTCAGCGTACGGCATTTTGTGCAGATTATAATGTGATAACAAAACCAATGTTTGCCGCTGTTGTCAGCCCATTGTTTTATAGTAGATTTCGTTCAATGCATGTAATGTATTTAATTGTAATGTACATTTTTCCCCATAATTAATGCGTTTTGTTTTTCGCAACAAAACTGTCCTGTAAAAGTCAAATGAGACTCACCACCCCCATCGTATCCATGTTTTGAATTTAATGTTCTACCAGCTATTACATTGTCCAATAATATGATTTTCCCTTTTGACAGTTTGTCAATGTGACGGATTTGTGGTTTCGTTTATTCTTTTTCCTTATTGATCACGATATTTGTGCTGCCTTTTTATTTTTGCATTCATCAAAACGGAATCAAAACAAAATTTCAGGTAATTAAGCAGTATAGCTTCTTTTCATTCTTTGTCTTACTAGAAATAACCCTAAAATGACCCCAAGCCATTTAACATAATACCTTTTTAACATTTGGAGATTTAGTTTCTACTGCCCCAAAGTCTGTCCTTCTCTCTCTTCTACATACGACAATACAATGCCAAGAAACAGTTTATGTTCTGAGCCCCACAATGATTTTCAAACATCATTGGTTTTTAGAGGATGTATGTCAATTCCCCATACATTCTAGCCATGAACTATGCACAGACCAAAGCACAATATGCTCCTTTAAGCTCCACATTTCCTGGCAGACACGATAAAATCTTTCCCGCACAAGGCACTGGACTGATCTTTCGTAACAGATTGTAACTCTGCTCTCGAACCCATTTAGAAAGCGCCAAATGCCATAATTCGAGACCTATACCTGCGAGCCAATTCATAATGAAAACGAGTGACTCCCCCAACACTCAACGCCGTTTAATGTACAGAACACTTGTCAGCTCCATCACCAATTGCAGTTTGCCTCCCCAACCCCATACATCGTTGACATATGGGTTACGGCAGAGGTATTACTGTATATTATACCACGTCCCTGACCGGCGTACGACGGAGTAGGCCGGCATTCCAAAGTCTTTCGTATGCAATCACGCAAGCCGCAAATAGCATCACTCATTATGAATTTCTATTGAGCTGACTTTGCTATCCTTCCAGTCAGAGTTGGTTTAGCACATGACCCGCATGAAGATCGCAACACTGGAATACGATTTATGCAGCAAAAAAACTTTATTCTCCCAACGAATCACTGGACCGTTAATAATGGCAGATAATCAGCCGAGGTTATTAGGCCAATAATCCCTTAGCAGCCTTTATATATGTTGGTTTGATCCCTGCCAAGGCAACGGATGGTTCCTGGGGTGAGGCATTGTGGGAGTCATTAGTAGAAAAGAAACCGCTGCTATTGCCTGGTGTAAATCTTGTTATGAGTTCAAATTTGGGCAGCGATGGTGCTGATAACTCAAAGTGGTGGAAGAAAAGAAAATCTGCCCAAAACATTATATAATTGGTGAGGTATTATCTAAGGACACAGACATTGAGCTGTTTCGGGTTACAGGTTTGTGTTATTTCAGAACTTGCAACTCAATGCATGTGTAGAAGTCTAACCCTGGGTCTATAAACATGGTCAGTTTTTTACCACAGCTAGTTTCATTCTGTGCCCAAAATCCTTCTGAGCAAGTGCCAGAAGTTTGCACTTGCCTCTCCACCCTGCACATGACATCACAAACAGACGTAAAATTTTATAATATTTTTTAATCAATGTTTTAGTCCGGAGAAGGGCAATCTCCATATTTTGACCTTGAGCAGCTAGCCCTAACCCTAATTTAGACCAAATGAACTTTTGAGTGACACTAATAATAAGAAATTTATGAATTTACTTCACTGTCCTTAAATAAACTTACCAACTTATTTGTGTGTTCCCTAAAATAACTGCGATGAAAAAGTCACTGACACTAGATCATTTTGTTTAATCATGGTGTAACAAACCATCTATATATGTAGTAACAAATGGTTACTTCATAATGATACTTGAAGATGTATTCATTATGAGTTAAGCATTTATTAACTGTTAGTAGTTAAGTAGCTATTAAGTGTTAATCACACTTAATTAATAAATTGTTCATGATTAATTAAGCGTTATTTAAACATTTATTAAGCCTTAATAAGGTGAAGTTATTATAAAGTGTTACCAGAGCATGTAATGATTTACATAGCAAGAATAGTCACAGCACCTCAGTGCAATACAAAAAGATTGATAAATCTTATTCTTCACTTCTCTGCTGTAGTATATAATCAGGTGTAGGCAGCGTGGGGCAAAAGGATTTCAAAGTAAATCCAGGCCTGAATTTGAAACCAATGAAGATCTTTTAATACAGACCGTTCTCTTATACAGTTTGAAGAAGAAACAGGTCAGAGTTGTCTGTTATAGTCTGTAATCCTAAAGCTTTCTCCTTTCCCAGGCCTTTCCTCTGACTGTCCAGACCCTGCTCTCTCTCTGCAGCTCTTTTGTTCGTCCATGTCTTTAGCTCAGCGCAGCAGTGAGAGGCCTGTGAATGAAGAGGGCAGAGAGCAGAGCGGAGGGGATGGAGAGAACTCTGTGTCTGCGTCTAAACGAGCTCATCGAGTCTCTATCAGCTTCTACTGCTGCGTGAGGAGAATACTGCTGCTGCTGCTGCTGCTGCTGCACTAACACCTGTTCAGTGTCTTCATGAACAAAGACATTGTTATTAGTTATTATTCTGCCGTGTAGGGCTGGGCAATAAATCGAATTTGGGAAATTAATCGGCTTTTGAAAAAATCGAATTTGTGAAAAATTTGAAAATTGTTAAATCAAATGAAGGATATTATGAGAGTTCCAGCAGCACAAACATTATATTTGCAATTACAACACACAGTCTGTACAAGACTTTTATAATATGTATTGGGGGAAACAAATTAAAAATAGTTTTGAAACTTGAATATTGAGCTGAAAGATCAAAACATATTTTTACAGGCAAAGTCTGTCTTTGGTGACTTTAATGAAAATCGATTAGAAATCGAAATCGTCCAAAGCTGGAAGTAAAATTGAGATTCTAATTGTTTGCCATATCGCCCAGCCCTACTGCCGTGTGTAAAATTGTCATCAGAGACATCATATATTTTTCTGTTGTTACAGTTACGGTGAAATTCAAATTTAACTCTTTTAATCTAAACAGGACAAATTCATTCATTTTTCCGCTTCTTTTATTGAAAGCCTTCGTAGCTTTTCTTTTATCTGCTCTGCTAAACTCAGAGACCTTAATAAAGCAAAGTATAACTGTACTGGCTCAGCCCAAACATCCTCTGATCGCTGACTTTGAGATCATGCTTTCAGGACGTCGTTTTTATGCTTCAGCTCAAAAAACAAACCGTTTTTTCAATTATTTTGTGTATCTGCTATAAAACTATTGAACTCTGGTAATTGTAAGAATTGTCGTGTATTGTATTGTTTTTTTTATACTTATATTGTTACTGCTGCCTGCTGCATCAAGTGTGTAGAGTATGTGCTCTGATCTGAGATTCTGCTGCAAATGAATTGCCCTCTGGGATCAATAAGGTTTTCTGAATCTGAATAAACCAAACACAAGATTCTCTTTAAAACCAGAAAAGTAAACCTTGTATGCAGTTTTCTGAATTGTTCGTGGTCAGGTGTCTCAGCTTTCACATCAGGGCATGTGTGCAGGTTAAACTAGCTTTTCTATCATTATTTTACTCTTAAAGGGCCCATATCACGGTTTTTGACTTTTCTCTGCTTTAAACATGATTACAATGCTATTTGGCCTTCATACACAAGCCCACAGTAGTTTATTCATTGATTCTGTCAATCTTTTGTAAGAGAGCAATCTGTCTCCTTCCCCAGCGTGAGGCACAGAAACGCTCGGGTCCACTTCAGTGACGAAAACCACACTGATGACGCGCATGACGCGCATGACCCCGTTTGCTTTGTATTTAAAATAGTTGTTAAATACTTTTGTCAAAACGGGGTAAACAATACACAATTAGTATGCTGTTTTTTGTCAAAAATAATAAAAAAATCAATAAATTAAAAGCCGGCGGGAGGTGATTGACGGATCAAAACAGCGAATCAGAGCACAGGCTCCGGCTCCCGAGTCCAGCGTCTGTGGTCTGGTCTCGCGGACACCACATAGAGCTGCTGTTTTTATGCTTTTGTCAGAAACTAAAAGTGTTAGGATCACGTCAACTTGAATGAAGTGTGTTATGGGTGTAAATATGTGACACACTATTTGGCCCGAAGAGGAAGAAAGCGGCTCAACTTTTTTCATCTGTTCATCTCATGGATCTATTATAATACCGGTTCATCTGCGACACTTCACTGAGACTGTTCCAGAACTACAGGGACAATGGAACTGGACTTACTCAAAAGCTGATCTGGAAACACGTTATTCTCACGGTAAAAGACGTAACTCGGACCCCTCGATCTGTAAGTAGTGACGCTAACTCCCTGTATACTTCTGTAAACTAAATAACTAGGGTCTGACTGTGCATCGAGGACATAGGGCTCGATGTGACGGATTGTCATTGGAAAAAGTGTATTCTTATGTATGAAATTACTAAGTACAGGTGATAAACGACAAGAGCGTGATGCTACGTCACCGTGCGGGCGGGGGGAGGCGGGCTCACAGGCAGAGGAGCAGACTCTTCTCTGGATCAGCTCGTTTGAGTCGAGGTGACGTCACCTCTATACAAGAGATGGCAATAATCTCACAAGCTTTGAGTGTTGTGTGGTGTATCATACACATTAATATCACACATGTGTATAGGATTGAGTGTGAAACATGAAGAAAAGCGTGATATAGGACCTTTAATAATGTATAGATGCTAAACATGTCACCTCTGGGGCCTCCTTTATCCCGTGTTTGATCAGGTTCAAAAGTGATCAGCACCTCTTACCAATGGACAAACTGATTTCTCAAACACATGGTCTCTGGAAATGTTCAAATCCATGTTAAACAGTTGTGTTTAGTTGTGCATACAGTATTCATATACAGGGATCATTGTATTGTTTATCTCTTTGTTCAGCACTTTGAATTGCCTTGTGTGTGAAATGTGCTACACAAATAAATTTGCCTTGTCTTGACCATGTGTGCAGAACTAAACCAGGACACTTACTGTTTAGCACCTGGATTTAAAACACAAACCTATAAGCCTCCCCTGCAAGAGGTCCACTCAGCTGCTCTTTCAGGACCTGGTCAGGGAGACGGCCCATTCTAATCAACGGCCTGTAGGTCTCACCACGTCCCAAATATTAATGTTTCTGTAGGACACAGGTGTAGTCTGTTCCTTCAGTGTGGTCTCTGTAGGACACAGGTGTATTCTGTTCCTTCAGTGTGGTCTCTGTAGGACACAGGTGTAGCCTGCTCCTTTAGTGTGGTCTCTGTAGGACACAGGTGTAGTCTGCTCCTTTAGTGTGGTCTCTGTAGGACACAGGTGTAGTCTGCTCCTTTAGTGTGGTCTCTGTAGGACACAGGTGTAGTCTGCTCCTTTAGTGTGGTCTCTGTAGGACACAGGTGTATTCTGTTCCTTCAGTGTGGTCTCTGTAGGACACAGGTGTAGCCTGTTCCTTCAGTGTGGTCTCTGTAGGACACTTACAGGAGGTCCGTTGGGGCCTGGAGGTCCTTTACTGTCCTGAGCACAGGTGCAGGCGTGAGGCATCGCGGGACACTGCTCCTCCACTCGCTGCAAACACAATAATAATAATTTGTATCAACTCCTAAAGGGCACTATATTTAACCAATATTCCTTTTCAACAAAATAAAAGGACTTTAACTATTGTTCATTATTCTATATTTTCCTGGATGAACATGATGTTTTCAAATTGTAGATATAAAATAAAGAGCCTTTTCACATGGAAGCCCCATGGACAGAAGGTAATTCACATCCTTCTATGAGCTCTGTCCACACTGGTCTCAAGTTGTCAAACATTAGAACTATGTATGTATTGAACATAGTGTGCACCAGTTTTGTGTCACATTGTGAAACACTTCTAATACAATTCACATTTCATTGAGAGAATAAGAAGCGGACAGTGATCAAAGACAGTGACAGATTTTTCGTACCAGAGCTGGAAGTTCGCAGCACTTGTCTCTGCTGGCCCAGGACGTGCTGCAGATGATGTCAAACATCTGGAGCTGGAACTGTAAAATAAGATGAGATAAACTTAGAATTACAAAGCACACAGGGGACATTGATTTAGGCACAAACGACTATAATTCACATGATTATTCAGATTAGGCTACATTTTTTGTAGGATTTGATCTGCTCAGACTGCTGCCTCCACAACTGAGACATGGATGAAACGGAAGAGAAAAGGACCGATGCAGCTCCATGGCCTTCGTCAGTGCTGAGGATCATGGAAGTTTGGTGTATAAGCGTGGACTTTTCAATATTGCTCTGACCTGTCTGCCCACTCTGGTGCTGGTCTACATGCATATTATGAGTGGGTAGAATATATTCGTCCAAATACATACATTTCTTGTCATTTCCCTGTGCTCTTAGATGCACCTCTGTCTGTTGTCTCAATAGGATCCGGTGTACCGTGTTTACTTTGTTGTACATGTAGCTGCTCAGAGCGGACTGATCTTCAAACCCTCAATAACTGACAGGTTTTTGTACCAGAATTGGGTATTTTCAGCACTTTGGAGAAGGTGGAGAATTTGGTTTTTGTTACCGCTTTGTAAATGCACACTTTTATTAAGAATAATAAATGAAACTCAAAACCTCCCTCTGATGGTAGAAGTGGGGAATTACACACAAAGACCCAATACATGTTAATCCATATGTTTTCAACTTATTTCACATTCTATAAGCGTGTCACAAGTAGAGCTGAGCAGAACTGAACCGTCATGCTCGCGCCTTCAGAGTCGGGAGGCTTTGTTTGGCTGCAGTGCTGATAAGAAGCCCATCTGATGAGCTCTAATGAGAGGCTGAAGCTGAGAAAGGCAGCTGCGGCGGCGGAGGAGGATGGAGATTAACAGCCTCCCAGAGGCTACGGTGTAATGGGCTCCACACCAGACTGTAAATGAGGTCAGATCCACACAAAGGCTTTGATGCAGGCACTTCTGACCACCACACACCGCTAACAATAATATTAGGTCTATGGCTGCAGGAGAGGAAATGGGAATTGAATGGGGAGGAGAAGAAAGTTGCAAAAAGCCAACAATTGAACAAACTTTTGTGTTCATTTTGTCCCTTAAACATACAAATATGAAACAAAAAAAATGTTTCTGAGCAACAAATCTTATCTTATCAAGGGCTGGTGTATCAGACCGACCCGGCATTCAACCCGCCTTGCGGCGACCTAGACTAACTTAGTCTCATTTAAGTTAGAGAGCAATAAAATCAAACTGTTTCCTCGGTTGTTGGATACATGTGGCTCAGGTGAAGAAGGTTCTAATCTACACACAAGTCACACGAGAGACAATACTTTGTATAATGACAGCATAACGAGCCGTGAAGCTGTGTTTAGGTGAGTGAAGCTCTTTCCAAGTGCAGGTTCAGGTCGTTGCAGGAGCTGCTCTTTCTGTCATAAACTTGTCCTTGTGAAAAATATGTTGGAAAGAATCTAAAGGGCTCCGTGTGGATGAGACACATATATTGTGAACTGGTCTCTCTCTGGTCTTTCTCTGGTCTATATCTGGTCTTTCTTAGGTC